AAAGATTTCCCCTGCGGTGTCTTCTTTGGCCTGTAGCTTCTTGACATAGGTATCGTCAAAGGTCACATAGTATGTTCTTCAATCTTCTCGAACGCTTGTTTAGGACCCTGTATGCCTTGGATGTGAGCGAGTAACCCAGAAAATTCCCTCGTCGGCTTTGACATCAAACTTGTTGCGTTGTTCTTTAGAATTAAAGATGAAACACCTTGAGCCGAACACATGGAAAAATTTCACATTTGGCTTTCTGTTGTTCAGTATCTCATATGGAGTGAGCGTGAACCTCTTGTTGAGATATGACCTGTTCTGTGTAAAACAAGCAGCTGAAATAGCGTCAGCCCAAAAATAAAGAGGTAAGGAAGCGAAACTTAGCATGGTTCGGGCAGCTTCACACAAAGATCGGTTTCGTCTTTCGACTATTCCGTTCTGTTGCGGTGTGTAGGGAGCTGAGAAATTGTGACTTATTCCCTTTTCTGCAAGAAACTCTTCAAACTCCCTGTTCTTGAATTCGAGACCATTGTCGCTTCTGATGTTGCGAACAACCTTCTTAAGCTGTACTTCAATTTGCTTGATAAACACTTTCAGCTTTTGAGTCGCTTCAGATTTGAGCTTTAGAAAGAACACCCATGTAAATCGTGAAAAGTCATCAACAATAACAAGAATATACTTGCTACCACCGATGCTTTCGATAGATGAAGGACCACACAAATCGATATGAAGTAATTCGAGTGGTTCAACAACTTTTGTGTTGATTATAGATGGATGACTTTGACGACTCTGCTTCCCCATTTCGCATGCAGCGCACAGATGATCCCTGTCGAACTTGAGCAATGGAAGGCCCCTAACATGACCTCCAGTAACAAGACGGTTGATATCTTTAAAATTAAGATGAGATAATCTTCGGTGCCACAACCAACTTTCGTCGGATTGAGCTTTTGACAACAAGCATATAGCTGGGTTTCCTTTGATGGGTTTAAGGTTTAAGGGAAACATTTCACCCTTTCGCTCTGACTTGAGAATCACTTTCTTTGACTTTTTCTCTATGATTTCAGAACCTTCATCATCGAACGAGACTTTGAGACCTGTACCTCCAACAAGCTGAGATACACTAATGAGATTGTGTTGGAGTCCTTCCACATAAGCCACCTTCCTTATAGTAAAGTCTCCATTTGTTATCATCCCGTATCCCTTTATAGTGCCAAATGAATTGTTTCCAAACTTGACGTTGCCACCATTTGCAAGAGATCTGTATTCCCTAAGCTCCTCTTTCCTCCCTGTCATGTGACGTGAGCAGCCACTATCGATGTACCATTCTTCGTCGAACTGCTCGTCACTTATAACCTTCTTTATCAGTTCATCGAGCTCATTGAACTGTTGGCTGAGTGGTTTGGCTGTAAAGCACATGTCCTCCTTTTCTTTCTGTCCATCAATGCCTCCATCAGTGTTGTATCCCCTCATTTGAGATACGTCAGAAACCATGAGGCATTTTCCACCACTGCTTTCTTCCTTAGACAAGTAGGCCTTTCCATGAGAAGGCTGCCTCACTTCCTCGTCTTCTGAGTCGGTAGACCAAACTTCCGTGCTACCGAAACTCATCACCTAGAACAGAACCCTGCACAATAATAGCATTAATAGGCGGGTTAGCAGCAGACTTCTTCTTTCTCAACTCATCCAATCTTTTCTGCAACACGGCTTCCTCGTCGTTCCCATCATCCTCTTCAGCCATTTTCTTAAGGACACAGTCCTTAGCATAATGATTTTTCCCACCACAATAGAAACAGCTCACTCCAGAGTCGCCATCCACCTTCGGTTCCTTCTTGTGCTCCTCAGCTTTCGGTTCATTAATCACCTTTTCAGAGCTATAACTCCCCTGCCAGTTTCGGTTTTTGTTGCTGGGGAATCTCTTCTTTACGAACCTTTTGGGATTGGACACCATCAAGGCATAATCCTCTGATGTGAAGATCATATTCTTCCAGGTTGAGGTCTTCATCCTCCATAACAGCTTTACTTTTTGACAGGAGGTCCAACGAACCAAGACTGGAAACGACGTTCTTTTCTTGCACCATGATCTTCTCTTGAGACTTGAGAATTCCCACCAGTTTCGCCAAAAAGTATGATTTAAACTGCTCATGGGCTTTAACTGTGGAAACTACTGCTCTCCATTCAGACCTCAGACCATTCAGGAATGTAACCATCTGTTCGATGAGATTCCTTTCAATATCGTGTTTGATCATCTTGCTGAGAAGATGATTGAAGCGATCAAACGTCTGGGTCACAAATTCTTCAACCCCTTGCCTGAATTCTCCAAACTCAGATAGAAGCAAAGTTTGAATCGAATGTTCAAGATCTTCGTCTGTAGAATACAGTTCGCGAAGTCTATCCCAAACATCCTTTGCCGTCGTGCATGAGCTAACCAATCTGAATGTATCGGACTGAAGGGCGAACCGGATCAATCTTAATGCCTTGATATTGCATTGGAACTTATCCTTTTCATCTTGTGCAATATCTTTCACGTCCTT